CACTCTCCTAGCTGCTCCTAGCATGATAGTCACCGTGTACACTCTCCTAGCTGCTCCTAGCATGATAGTGTCTCAGTATAATCAGGACAACACCCACTCAGTAATCCCACTTGGTTAATTATCTCTGATTATTGACTGGTGACTCTGAGCGTCTTCTGATAACTTGTCGCTCACATGGAGATTATATATCGCTATGTGGATAAAGAATACCATAAGAATATTAATGATAAGAATACCACCTTCCTCTGATCAAACGAATAATCAAAGATGCATGACTTTTATACAATTCGCTAGGCTCTTAATCTCTAATCAAAATTTTCTATATTTTTCGCTCGCAGACATTAAACACTAGGATGTAATGTTGAGTATTCTCTTGAATAAACATATAGGTCACTGGTATCTCATTTACAGAAAGTAAACATTTAAATGTAACCATCACTGGTATCTCATTTACAGAAAGTAAACATTTAAATGTAACCATCACTGGTATCTCATTTACAGAAAGTAAACATTTAAATGTAACCATCACTGGTATCTCATTTACAGAAAGTAAACATTTAAATGTAACCATCACTGGTATCTCATTTACAGAAAGTAAACATTTAAATTTAACAATCACTGGTATCTCATTTACAGAAAGTAAACATTTAAATTTAACACTGTGGCAACGAATCAACATATGATATCTTAATGTAATTCACTCACATGAAAAGCAGCATTTTCTCAGTAACTTTCTCGTTATCAATGTAACATAAAATTAATGTAATGATACTGATCAAATCTATAAATAGTCACTTTCCGCCCACATGTGACCCCACATTCTCTCGCTATCCGTCAACATGAATTCATGAAACCTGTTGTCAATGGGTTTATTGTGTATGGATACTGATTACACTCCCCATGCCGCAAATGCCAAGACTTTAAACTTGAGTTTAAAGTTCATCTGGAGATATCTTCAGTATTATGGGCTATTCATGCCCGTGCCACTTTTTTGTTATTTATTTATTTATTTATTTATTTATTTAATTATTTATTTACTTATTTATTTATTCATTTATTTATTTATTTATTTATTTATTTATTTATTTATTTATTTATTTATTTATTTATTTATTTATTTATTTATTTATATACAAGAAGGTACATTGGGTTTGTGAGAATACATAGCATAGTACAGTAATTATAATCTTGTAAAGCCACTAGTACGCGCAGCGTTTCGGGCAGGTCCTTAATCTAACAGATAATTTTAAGTAGGTAAATTCTATCAGAATTAATAAAATGATAACAAATACATTGCAAAAAAAAATGAGATGAGAGAGAATAGTAAGTATATTAAAGCACATTGGTATATTAAAGCTCTGATTGATTATATTGACAGCTTGATTGGTAATTTAAACAAGATTAATAGACACCATACAGCAGATTGACAGCACATATAAGACAGCAATGATCACAATGGTAAAGTTGTTTAGATTGGGTACATAATGATTGGAAGATTGTGTAGCAATAGATACAGTGCAAATTTAAAGCAACAAGGTAGAAAACCATGAAGATGAAATTAGGTACTTTTTAGTTTTGTTTTTGAATGACGCAAAAGTTGGACAGCTTTTCAACTCACTAGGGAGTGAGTTCCATAAACTGGGTCCTTTTATTTGCATAGAGTGTTTACACAGATTAAGTTTAACTCTGGGGATATCAAAGAGATATTTATTTCTGGTGTGGTGATAATGGGTCCTATTACATCTGTACAGGGAGAGTTTCAGACAAGGATTTGCATTTAAGAACAGGGTTTTGTAAATGTAGTTGACACAAGAGAATTTGTGGAGTGAGATTATGTTTAGCATGTTTAGGGAGTTAAACAAGGGGGCTGAGTGTTGTCTGAAAGCAGAATTTGTTATTATTCTGATAGCAGATTTTTGCTGGGTGATGATGGGCTTGAGGTGGTTGGTCGTGGTGGAACCCCATGCACAGATACCATAATTAAGATAGGGGGTAGATTAGTGCATTGTCTCAAATAATTCATATTATTAGAAGTTGTAATATGAAGTTGAATCAAATTATTAGATATAGTAATTCAAATTCAAATGTTTATTTAGGTAATAGTACATACATAGATGAAGAGTTGCAAACATAATGTTGGATTTATAGATAGAGCTAGTACATACAATACCTAAAGCCACTAATACGCATCGCATTTCGCCTTCTCCTTTTTAATGAGCTTCACATTGCACAAAGTGCAAGGCTCCATGAAACAACATATGATTACTACACACACCCAGATCATCACCAGAGATAATCTGACCATCAACTCTGAAACAATCAACAGATACAATGACAATAAAAGAGTAGACACAGCGAAGCTCTACATAACAAACACTCTCCGCCAACTACTAAAAGCCACCTTACGCTGAGGTACATTTCTGCCAGCTTCAAGACCAAAGAACACTGCATAAACCTTCACAAGAGAGAAGGAATTGACAGGAAACGGCAGAAGGCCTATTGACAGGAAACTGCAGAAGGCCTATTGACAGGAAACTGCAGAAGCCCTATTGACAGGAAACTGCAGAAGGCCTATTGACAGGAAACTGCAGAAGCCCTATTGACAGGAAACTGCAGAAGGCCTATTGACAGGAAACGGCAGAAGGCCTACTGACAGGAAACTGTGGAAGGCCTATTGACAGGAAACTGCAGAAGCCCTATTGACAGGAAACTGCAGAAGGCCTATTGACAGGAAACTGCAGAAGCCCTATTGACAGGAAACTGCAGAAGGCCTATTGACAGGAAACGGCAGAAGGCCTACTGACAGGAAACTGTGGAAGGCCTATTGACAGGAAACTGCGGAAGCCCTATTGACAGGAAACTGCAGAAGGCCTATTGACAGGAAACTGCAGAAGGCCTATTGACAGGAAACTGCGGAAGGCCTATTGACAGGAAACTGCGGAAGGCCTATTGACAGGAAACTGCAGAAGGCCTATTGACAGGAAACTGCGGAAGGCCTATTGACAGGAAACTGCGGAAGCCCTATTGACAGGAAACTGCGGAAGGCCAATTGACAGGAAACTGCGGAAGGCCTATTGACAGGAAACTGCGGAAGGCCTATTGACAGGAAACTGCGGAAGGCCTATTGACAGGAAACTGCGGAAGGCCTATTGCCCATATTTTGCCTCATCCCATTGGTAATATATTTAGTGGTTCAAGCTAACTTGTACACTGACTGGTCAGTACGTGGGTGTAGGTGTCTGGCTGGTCTGTATGTGGGTGTAGGTGTCTGACTGGTCTGTACGTGGGTGTTGGTGTCTGGCTGGTCTGTACGTGGGTGTAGGTGTCTGGCTGGTCTGTACGTGGGTGTTGGTGTCTGGGGGTCTGTACGTGGGTGTTGGTGTCTGGCTGGTCTGTACGTGGGTGTTGGTGTCTGGCTGGTCTGTACGTGGGTGTTGGTGTCTGGGGGTCTGTACGTGGGTGTTGGTGTCTGGCTGGTCTGTACGTGGGTGTAGGTGTCTGGCTGGTCTGTACGTGGGTGTAGGTGTCTGGCTGGTCTGTACGTGGGTGTAGGTGTCTGGCTGGTCTGTACGTGGGTGTAGGTGTCTGGCTGGTCTGTACGTGGGTGTTGGTGTCTGGCTGGTCTGTACGTGGGTGTAGGTGTCTGGCTGGTCTGTACGTGGGTGTTGGTGTCTGGGGGTCTGTACGTGGGTGTTGGTGTCTGGCTGGTCTGTACGTGGGTGTTGGTGTCTGGCTGGTCTGTACGTGGGTGTTGGTGTCTGGGGGTCTGTACGTGGGTGTTGGTGTCTGGCTGGTCTGTACGTGGGTGTAGGTGTCTGACTGGTCTGTACGTGGGTGTAGGTGTCTGGCTGGTCTGTACGTGGGTGTAGGTGTCTGGCTGGTCTGTACGTGGGTGTTGGTGTCTGGCTGGTCTGTACGTGGGTGTTGGTGTCTGGGGGTCTGTACGTGGGTGTTGGTGTCTGGCTGGTCTGTACGTGGGTGTTGGTGTCTGGCTGGTCTGTACGTGGGTGTAGGTGTCTGGCTGGTCTGTACGTGGGTGTAGGTGTCTGGGGGTCTGTACGTGGGTGTTGGTGTCTGGAGGTCTGTACGTGGGTGTAGGTGTCTGGCTGGTCTGTACGTGGGTATGTATACATCCTGGGTGTGTATAAGGTAGTGGAGATTACATATACACCGTCGAGGCCACCATCTCTAGTGGCCTTGACGGGGGACAGGAAGCCCTGAGGGCCACCATATCTAGTGACCCCGACGGGGGACAGGAAGCCCTGAGGGCCACCATCTCTAGTGGCCCCGACGGGGGACAGGAAGCCCTGAGGGCCACCATCTCTAGTGGCCCCGACGGGTGACAGGAAGCCCTGAGGGCCACCATCTCTAGTGGCCCCGACGGGTGACAGGAAGCCCTGAGGGCCACCATCTCTAGTGGCCCCGACGGGTGACAGGAAGCCCTGAGGGCCACCATCTCTAGTGGCTCCGACGGGTGACAGGAAGCCCTGAGGGCCACCATCTCTAGTGGCCCCGACGGGTGACAGGAAGCCCTGAGGGCCACCATCTCTAGTGGCTCCGACGGGGGACAGAACTACCAACCACAGCAACAGCCGTCTGAGCTGGCGACAACTCTGGTTTCCAATACAGGAGCTTTAAGAATCCACAACAGCAGAAATACAGGAGCCTTAAGAACCAGTCTCCCTGGTGTAGTGGTAAGACACTCGCCTGGCGTTCCACGAGCGCTTTGTCATGGGTTCGTTTCCTGGCCGGGGAGGATTTACTGGGCACAAATCCTTAACTGCAGCCTCTGTTTAACTCAACAGTAAAATGAGTACTTGATTGTAAAAACGAATCTTCGTGGCGGGGATCGTATTCCAGGGACCTGCCCGAAACGCTACGCGTACTAGTGGCTGTACAAGAATGTAACAACTCTTGTATATATCTAAAAAAAAAAAAAAAAAAAAAAAAGCAGAAATACAGGAGCTTTAAGAACCCAAAACAGCAGAAATAACAACAACCTGTGATCTCTCAAAGATCTTGCGGTCGTGGAGGGCGGAGTTGCGTCTGGACCCCAACCCTGGCGGGATCCTCCTGGTCGAGGTCATCCTCCAGGCCCGTGTTGTCACCTGAGCAATGCCTTCACTACTGACAGCTCTGCCAGCCTTCACTACTGACAGCTCTGCCAGCCTTCACTACTGACAGCTCTGCCAGCCTTCACTACTGACAGCTCTTCCTGCCTTCACTACTGACAGCTCTTCCTGCCTTCACTACTGACAACTCTTCCTGCCTTCACTACTGACAACTCTTCCTGCCTTCACTACTGACAACTCTGCCAGGTTTCACTACTGACAACTCTGCCAGGTTTCACTACTGACAACTCTACCATCCTTCACTACTGACAACTCTGCCAGGTTTCACTACTGACAACTCTGCCAGGTTTCACTACTGACAACTCTACCAGCCTTCACTACTGACAACTCTGCCAGGTTTCACTACTGACAGCTCTGCCAGGTTTCACTACTGACAGCTCTTCCTGCCTTCACTACTGACAGCTCTTCCTGCCTTCACTACTGACAACTCTGCCAGGTTTCACTACTGACAACTCTGCCACGTTTCACTACTGACAACTCTACCAGCCTTCACTACTGACAGCTCTGTCAGGCTTCACTACTGACAACTCTGCCTGCCTTCACTACTGACAGCTCTGCCAGGCTTCACTACTGACAACTCTACCAGCCTTCACTACTGACAGCTCTGTCAGGCTTCACTACTGACAACTCTGCCTGCCTTCACTACTGACAGCTCTGCCAGGCTTCACTACTGACAACTCTACCAGCCTTCACTACTGACAGCTCTGCCAGGCTTCACTACTGACAACTCTGCCAGCATTCACTATTGACAACTCTGCCAGCCTTCCATCTTATCGCACCACACTGATTACAGATAACACAATCAGGAGATGAGACCAATGCGCATCAATCATTTTTTTTTTCAGGGATATTCCTGCGCGGGCCCTAAGCCTCTGGCTGGCCCACTAAGTGTTGCTTGTTTCTTTTTTACTTGGGCGGAGTATGAGTATTTATGACTCGTATGGTCGCTTCAGTAAGATTTTGTCATATGTGTTTAACAACTTCTTCTGCTCTGTTGAATCTAAGTTGAAATCTTAATGTGTTTGTACCTGTGCACTGTGTTAGATAATGTTCCAGTGGTCTGTCGGGCATTTCTCCACAGTGCTGACATTTCCTCTCATCTTCCGGAACCTGCAAGCCTATTTCTCTGCACATGGGTATCCAAGCCTGATGCGATGTAAGTGTACTTCTATTGCTCTACTGCTCCCTTTCATCAAACTAAGTGGTTCGTAGTTGGTTGAAATCTTGTACCAACCCGCAGATCCTGATGTTGCAACTGCTGTGTTGTGGTCACTCTGCATCATTTGCATTGCTCTGTTTCTAATTACTTTCTTAATCTGTGATAGAGTCTGTGGTATGTAAATGTCTACATTTCTTCTCTTAGTTGCAAGTTTTGCAGCTTCATTTGCAATGTCATTTCCTATTATTCCCACATGACTTGGCACCCAGTTGATAAGTACCCGTCGGCCTTGTCGTTTGAATGTTTGCATTAATGATATGACATTTGTGATCAGATGTATGTTATCACATATGTGTTCTTGTTGCAAGGTTTCAATGGCGGTTCTCGAATCTGTATGTATGATAACATGTTGTCGGTGTTCAGCAAAAGCATGTTCCAAAGCCTTTTGAATGGCTAGCATCTCTGTAAAGTCGAACACCCATTTGAGAGTTTCCAACTATTTACAGAGTTTCCTACTTTAACTGCAGCTCCGGTTTCTTGTCCCTGATGGTTTACTGATCCATCTGTGAAGTAAGTGAAGCTGTCAGATGCCAAGTTTGCTTCTATGTGCATCTTTGCAATGTTACGCAGCTAATGAGGATTTGTCTTGTTCGTTTTCACTTCCAGAACCATAATCTTAAAGTCTGCTGGCGGAGATTTCCAAGGGGCTTGCATAACAAAGTCTGCATGTATTTCGTCGACACCCCTCTCAGTGACTGTGTTTGTTATATCGAATTTATTGATGGTGTTTATCGCACAATGGGTCCACCTGTTGCTATTGGAGGCTCTTCTGTCCAGAGTTAGTGCTCCAGTGATTATATCTTTAAGTGAACTGATTCTAGGTCTAGTCAATATCTTGGTCAGCATGCACGCAGCAATCCCTTTTACCCTTATTTCAATCGACGTTAGCTTTGTTTCTAGTCTTAGGTTCAGGATTTTAGTCCATCTGGGAGCTCCTGTTATGATTCGCAATGCATCGTTTTGAATAACCTCAACGTTTGCCCACTGACCAGGAGAAAGAGTGAGTAAGGCAGGCGCTGCATAATCAACTAGGGAACGAACGGCGTGTATGTAAAACATTCTTAACACTTTGTGTCCCGCTCCTAGACGGGGCCCTGTGATTGCTCTCATTATATTTAGTCGTGATTTTGCTGTCTCCTTTAGATATTGAAATTGCTTGTTAAATGTCATTTTAGAATTTATTCACACTCCGAGATATTGATATTGTGTAACACACTGAAGGTTAATGTCTTGAATGCGTAGGTGCTTGCCTGGAGTGTTGCCGCCTAGTCTCATTGCCTTAGACTTCTGTGCAGATATTTTTAGCCCTGTTACGACCCTGGGTTCCTAGTTGGAAACCAGAGGTCAAATTGAGTTCCAAATAATCTTGCGAGAAAGATAGTTAGTTATCCTTATTGTTTATACTTAGAGCGTTTCATACCTTTGTTCACGTCTTCCTTGCCAAACGTAAGATGAATCTGCTTCTCATAAAACATTCAGACTCTGAGCTGGTTGATTATTAAATATAATATTGAACTAGTTATCAGCTATTCTTAGCATTATTAAAGTAACTAGTAATGAACGTCTGAGTAAACTTGTGATGATTGTTGCTGTACGATCAGCTGAGTATCCGTCCCGGCAGCATATTTAAATGAGCTCGAGCAGCTATGCTCTCCCTTCTCTTTGGCTGGCATCTGTGGCATTCTGACTTCCCCTGTGGGACTCTGTCTTCCTCCCACTCCTCTCTCCTCTCCCTGTAATCTCTGTTCTACAAGTTAAGTAACCATTAATATACTGTGCTACTAGCTAGGCGTGTGTTTTGTTTAGATTCAGATTCAGATTCAGATTCAGATGTTTATTCAGGTAAGGTATATACATACAAGTGATGTTACATTAATGGATTGATATATAGATAGAGCTAGTACATACAATGCCTAAAGCCACTATTACGCAATGCGTTTCGGGCAATATTAAATAGATAAGATTAAAATAGAGGTATTTTAAGCCAGTGTTTTGGCATCACTAAGTGTACTCCATTGTTACTAGAGTACCACGTGGGTCATAGCTACCCAGGCTGCTTTAAGCCTTACAATTAAGTGCTGTTTCTCTAAGTAGACTTTACCCTGGTTTTGTAATTGTATCCCTTGCATCCTGCCTAAGTGGATTAAGGTGTTTAACGTAAGGTAGAGTGGTAAAGTAAATAATGTATTATTGTATATGGGGGGGGTTTTTAGAGGGTTTAATAAATTAGCACTAAGAAAGGCGTATCTCTTCTTCCTGTTGAGAGTGGAATAGGGGATTACCTTAGACTAGACAGTTTTTCTAGCCAAGCAATTGTTCATCTTCTGGGAACATTCTTTCAGTGGGTGCCGGGGCCTCCCTATTGTCACTATTTTAGGAACTCCTTTGGATTTTAATATTGGCCCTCACAGTATAATCACACTACCTTCGTAACAAGTGGTTGGCCTGTCCGGGAGTAGAAATATTTATACATAAATTGTAAAAATTTAGATTTTTGAGTGACGAAACTAAAATTCGTGCTTTCCGCAGAACGGTTGTTTGGTAGTCTAGGGTCCAGTTCAACTAACTAAGGATACATCTTGCACTGACTGCACACCCAGCTGGATCTCTTCATGATTGAGATAAGTGTGGCCTTGTGACAGGGGCCGTGCAAATTTTTGTATTTTTTTCCAATTTTTTATTTTATTTTTACTTTTGGCTAGGAGCTAGAGTAATTAGTGGTGGCGGCTAAATTGCAGGAACTGGCGAATGACCCTTCAGTGGTAGAGATTAAGAAACTCAACAAATCTAACTTAGTATTGTTAGGCAATGAATTTGGTCTCGAGTTAAATGACACTGATAAAAAGTGGACTTTGGTGAATGAAATTTTACAGCATTGCATACACCAGGGCCTATTGCCCAGTGATACAACTTTATGCCAGCCTAGCCTAGCTAAAAGTGCAGCTCGTAGGGACAGAGAAGTAGAACTGGAATTAGCGAAAATAAGACTGGAGGAGCAAAGGCTCAAAACCCAGGAGGCTAGAATTAGAGCAGATACCACCTTACCTTGAGGTTACCTTGAGGTGCTTCCGGGGCTTAGCGTCCCCGCGGCCCGGTCGTCGACCAGGCCTCCTGGTTGCCGGACTGATCAACCAGGCTGTTGGACTCGGCTGCTCGCAGCCTGACGTATGAGTCACAGCCTGGTTGATGAGGTATCCTTTGGAGGTGCTTATCCAGTTTTCTCTTGAACACTGTGAGGGGATTGCCAGTTATGCCCCTTATGTGTAGCGGAAGCGAGTTGAACAGTCTCGGACCTCTGATGTTGATAGAGTTCTCTCTCAGAGTACCTGTTGCACCTCTGCTTTTCAACGGTGGTATTCTGCACATCCTGCCATATCTTCTGGTCTCATGTGATGTTATTTCTGTGTGCAGGTTTGGGACCAGCCTCTCTAATATTTTCCACGTGTAAATTATTATGCACCTCTCTCGCCTGCGCTCAAGGGAGTACAGTTTTAGGCTCTTTAGTTGGTCCCAATAGTTTAAATGTTTTACTGAGTGGATTCTAGCGGTAAAGGATCTCTGCACGCTCTCCAGGTCAGCAATTTCTCCAGCTTTGAAAGGTGCTGTCATTGTGCAGCAGTACTCCACTCTAGGGAGCACAAGCGTTTTGAAAAGTATCATCATGGGTATAGCATCTCTAGTGTGAAAAGTTCTTGTTCTCCAACCTGTCATTTTTCTTGCAGTTGTGACGGCTACTTTATTGTGTTCTTTATTTATTTATTTATTTATTTATTTATTTATATATATATACAAGAAGGTACATTGGGTTTGTGAGAATACATTGGATAGTACAGTATTTACATTCTTGTAAAGCCACTAGTACGCACAGCGTTTCGGGCAGGTCCTTAATCTAGCAGATAATTTTAAGTAGGTAATTTCAATCAGAATTGATAAATGATAAAGATACATTACAAGAGAAAAATGAGATAAGAGAGATAAGTAGGTACCTTTAAAGGTAAGGTCTTCCGACATGAGTACACCCAGATCCTTTACATTGCCTTTTCATTCTATGTTATGACTTGCCTGAGTTTTGTACGTGGTTTCCGTTTTTATATTTTCATTTTTTCCATAGCGCATGAGCAGGAACTTATCTTCGTTAAACACCATATTTTTTCTGTAGCCATAGAAAGACCTGATCTACATCTGACTGGAGGTTCGCCGTGTCCTCTACGTTGCCTACTCTCATGAAGATCCTAGTGTCATCTGCAAAGGATGATACAGTGCTATAGGTTGTGTTCTTGTCTATGTCCGATATGAGGATGAGAAAAAGTACTGGTGCAAGCACAGTTCCCTGGGGAACTGAGCTCTTCACGGTTGATGGGCTGGATTTTATTTTGTTGACTATTACACATTGGGTTCTGTTGGTCAGGAAATTGTAGATCCATCTGCCTATTTTTCTGGTAATTCCTTTTGAACGCATTTTATGTGCAATAACACCATGGTCACATTTATCAAAAGCTTTTGCAAAATCTGTGTAAATTACATCAGCGTTTTGTTTGTCTTTCATAGCATCTA